GAATTTCTGTTATCCGCTTCGACCAGCCTCTGTCCGCTCGCCGCGATTACCCGGTGGGAAGTTTGTGCACCCACTTTTCTGACAAATTATACGTTCCTGTACGTCTTATTTACTTTCGTCAGAACATACCGAATCTTACGATGATATTTACTTCCGGCCCGAGAATCGAATCCGGTTTTCAAAATCTTTCGCTTTTCAGCTGGTCGCTAGTTTCGCTTCCTTCCTCGTAGAAGTCGTTCGTGAAGATTGCCCTAGAGAAATCGACGGAAATTGTTCGCTCGATTGATCGCTGGTCCTTTCTTGTTGCTCCAGAAACTTGCCACGATTGCTATGATTAAGATCTGTTTTGAATTCCGTTCTTCTTCACCTATCAACGATATGAGTTTGTGTCACAAAATCGAGGGTTTCTTGAATCATCGGGACATGGAGTAGTCATACTGTTTTTTGCTACACTTAATAATGCTATGAAATCCTTGGTAATACTATTACACTTGATAATACTGTGACATACTTCGTGATGCTATTAAACGCTTGATAATACTATAAAACACTTCATATTACTATTAAGTGTAATACTGTGTTTGTAATGGTATTGCTTTAAAGATATACAGAATCCCGAATGATATTGAATTTGTTGATGAATGAGCTTCTTGAAGACTCGCAGATTCTATCCCCCACTGAAAGGGACAATTTTTTCTCTTATATCGAGTCTTTGTTTACTAACATCACTTTCGCTTACGTTAAGACTCCTCTGCATCATACAGATCATTTTCATTTATATCGAAACTTTACTGTATCATGCAAATAATTTTAACTTATATCAAGACCTAACCACATTAATTATAAATAAAGCAACCACAATTTTAAAGATATTCGCTTCAAAAATTTTCACGGTGTTAAATTTTCTCAAGGTGTTAAAATTTTGGAATCTTGATGACCATACAACCTATGGTCAGCACGTATATATGTATAATTGATTTATATTCTTTCGTGTATCGAGTCACGCATCGAAGACCGCTGACAAAGATCGCCGAGAGTCAGGGCGTTACTCGCGTATGACGCGTGCAATTTCTCATGAAATTATTCCACGCATGCCAACGGCAGTTCGTGATATATGGACAGCCGCATAAGAGATGTGTCCCACCTACACGCGTAACCTATGACCGACACCGAATATTGAATCACTAATATCTCGGAACGAGACAAGGGACGTACGACCATTCTCTGACCGCGTTCACCTTCTTCCCTCTATAGGATGTTCGCGTTAATCCTTATCATCGTTATTTCGTAAATGGTAAACATAAGTAAAAAAAAAAGAAGAGAAAACTGTTGTACTATATTTTACTACAAATATGATAACGCATTTAGATTTTTGGTAATGTTAATATTTTTTAAAAAAAGGTGACCTCCATTTTTTTTTAATTGAAGGATATAAGTATAACTTTTTACATCGTCAGGCGAAGGCAGAAATAAGAAAAAAGGTTTATCATTTCATAATAAAAAAAATATAACACACTAATTAACAAGTTAATTAACGCAGTCATGCAGTCACGTAAGGGTGCTAAAATATAATATTTTAATTGTAACTTACATTTATACATTAATGTATAATACCGTAAGCAATTAAAACTTACCTGTAGCTTTTGTATCCAGACATTCCTGCATGATATGATCCCCTTATCCATCACTGTAACTTTATTGAATTTTTGTATTTTCAAAACTCGCTTTGATTAGCGATCTATACACTTAAATCTTCAAGAAAATTATTGTCATAAATATAATCTAAATACATTACGCTTAAATTCTTCATATTTAATTGTATTATCTAATATGTATTTTTAAGTATATTGGAGCAATAATAATTACGTAGTCATCATTGCTTGCAATGAACTCATAAGAGTGGATACAGTTACATAAATATTGCATACTAACTCACTGAAGGAGGAATATGATGACACACAAAATATTAAAAACATGTGTGTTTTGTATAAATTTTGTAGAACTTAAATATTTGTAAGTGCTCAGGACTGAAGATCTGGTAATTCTTCGACATTCTAATTGTCAAATTCATAAGCCTCTTAATATCTACATTTAAAAATTTATGAAATGAGAAATGTTGTAGTTTTTAAATTATAAAATTGAAAATTCTTAAATATAATTCTTGAATTTAAAAATTTATTAATTTTGAAATTAGGAAATGTAAAAGTTTAAAAATTTGGAAATTTATAAACTTCAAAATTTATTAATTTACAAACTTACAAGCTTAAAACTTACAAATTCAAAAATTTTGAAAATTAAAAATTCAGAACTATGCAAGTTTGCAAGCTTAGAAATCCTGAAGCAGAAATTTCCAATTTTTAAAACTAAATTGCAATTTAATTTTGCCTTCCTAATAGTGCAGTTGTTTACTACTGATCTAAAACGTGATTATTCGTAATGTAAGCACTACTATTTTTCAGATATTGAATCACATTATATTAAAAACATAAACTTGCATTATATTTATTTATAATTATTTAGATTTATTTTCAATTATATGTTGCAAAAAATTATTTAATAAACAAGGGAAAATGTATAATAGTGGTATGACGGTGAAAACGCACAAATTTCTTTCGATTATCGTATAACAAACGTATTATAATTTATTCCGACAGCGAGTGATAGACAAAGCAATTCGACGATTTACGATATTAAATCAAGTATCCGTATTACAATCAAGTAACGAAATAGTAGATCAAGCTATGAAAAGTCTTTGCACAATGTCAAAATATGAAGTCCGCAACGACAAATACGAAGTAAACGCGCAATGGCAAAATATAAAGTAGTCCGTAATGACAAATACGAAGTAAATCCCGTAGTGACAAAATATAAAGTGAAGTGCGGGCCCCGGTGCCTTCGCTTATTTTATATGTTTCACTCCCCTACGACGTCTCCTAGCAACCACCCGATTTCTTCGAAATCTGCCACATGCCCTCCGTCGACCTCGGCTTCGCGGTCATCCCTCTACGACCAAACCGCCGAACCTCGCGATGCCGCCCGCCCTTTGCGGCCGCGCCGGCACGCCGCGCGCCGATACCGATATCGCGCCGGCACTTGCCGGTAC